TCCATTTTTCTCTACTCACGCTCCTTGCAAAGCCTGTAGTAGCTGTAAACATTCAAAGTCACCCTCAAGAAGTCCTCTACTGCCCAGCTGAGTGCTGGATTTAGATCACTTTTATGTGAGGGAACTAGCCGTAACAGATCCTGCAAGCTGAATCACTATATAAATATTTAAGCAAACAACAGGTCACTCAAGTGTTTTCTTTATGAAACTACATGACGGTCCATCACATGCTGGGATGCAATCCCAGTGCACTGGGCTAAGAGCTGGTACAGGGACCCTCATTCTGCAGGCAGGTTTGCTGCTGCCACCTCAGATGATTGTTCATCTGGAGGTGAAGGGGAAGGTCCTGGCACTGTGCTGCCACTGAAAGCGGAAAGGATCCCTTGCAGTTTGCACCACAACCCTTTCCTCTATGCCAGCCTCTAGACCTGGGGATGAGACACACCTCTGCCAGCCCTCAGAAGGTAAGGAGAGGGCAGAAGGCAGCTGTATGAACCACGCACTCCGTGCAGGAGCCTTGACAGCTTGGTTCTCACTCATCACCCTAGTGCAGCCTGCTCTGCCCCTCCTCTGCTGCAGATTTCCTACATCGGCTGTCCCACTGTCATCTGTGATTTTCCATTTCCAGACAGAATGTTGTACTAAGATTGGTCTTTTGGCCTTCAAGACAATTGCGCTTTGTGTGATGGGTTGTGTGTGAACAAACACCTGCTGAGATAAAAAGTGCACCTTGAGATTCCTGTGCCAGTATCTCACAGTATTTGCTTTTCTCAATATACCACATACAGCATGATTCTTAAAAATAGGCTTACTGGTGTTTTACACATCGGCAGTAGTGACGTATCAGACTAGCTGAGCACTGCGTTTGCAGCAGCACTTAGAAAAGCATCTCTGGCTCTTCGCAATCACCTATTGGTAAATGTCACTTAATTGTCTAAGAAAAATTTGGCTGACCTTTCAATTACTGGTAATAGAATAAAAGCAATAAAAGACCGTATGAGCAAGTGTTACCAATACCCATTCGTTGCCTTTTTGAACTGATTGGAGCACCAAGGAGAATTCACACACAGCTCCAGGGCTGCATTTTTGGCATGGCACTGATGAAGGAACTCATGGTAAAAGCCAGGAACTAGGGAAAGAAAATAATGCCCTCCCATCCCTCCTTGTCCTGACTCCATAAACAAACCCAGAAAGAACATTTCTAAGTATCTGGCAAAAAAAAAGGCCCTATATTCTGAGGGCTTTTGTGGAACTTAGAAAGAGTCTATAATATCTGCATTCAGGGGTAAACATTGCTTTCACTCAACTGCTTTCTAACATGTCAGACCTGCTGAGATAGCTGTGACTATCGAGGTATATAGGCAAATCCTCCCTACTATGCAGAAAGAAAGTCAGTATGGAGTTTACACACTGTTCACTGCCTTTGCGAGGCCTTCATTTAAGCAGAGCTTATCTCATGGCTCTCCCACCAAATACAACTGCAGCTCAGTCACTGTTTTTTTGCCCGTTGTGTTTGGCACTGGGTAAGAAAGACACTTGAATGGATGTTATAGTACAGTAGTCTCAAATGAGAAACCCAGAGTTTGTAAATTAGCTGTTAGCAGCTCTCATAAACACTTCTCAAAGTCCTCCTCCAGTAGCAGAAATAGCTGTTCACTCTCTAAACTGTCAGGCTATTGATGAAGATCTGAAAGGCTTAGTTGGCAAACTGCTAGTGCTGGTGCCTGACTCATGAGTAATAGCTCTGTTTCCGTTCCCTTTGAACAGGAAGAGGACAGCAAATACTGATCAAGTTTTTCACTTATTTCCTATTCACAGCTTGGACCCCTGAAACATAGAGACCCTCTTGGCAGAGCTCACTCCTGCTAAGACCACTTCTTAGCTTGTATATTCTACAAAATGGTTATTTATATATCAGGTGTCCTTCCCATTGTGGAAATTTGGAATCTATATGATACATTCAGTAACTCTTCTGACAGGTTCATGCCCTCATACCCTATTTTCAATGTGTACACTGAAATGAGTTAAAAATAATTACTACATGTAGAAACTTAGACTGTCAGATCCATCTCAATTCAGTGATCTGACCACAACAGTAATTTCCAAATTAACCAGCAGAGCTTGGACATTACCAGTTGCTGTGAGAAAATGTTCTCCTAGTTCCTTCACCTTCAAGATAGTCTGATTATTGCTGGAGCTGTTCACAGCTCTGTGGATACTCTCAAATCAGACCCTTCTTTGTGTATTCTTTACTCTTACAGGCTAACTCATGCATTAATTAACTTGGTCAGGCAGTTCTTTCTTACACAGTCCTGAATAAAGTGGCAAAATAAGTTAAATGAAAATATAACCAAGCATGTTAATGTATCTCTTGCTCTTTCACACATGCACCCACACACAAATACCCAGTCACACACATACACCCACGCTGTCTGAGTGTTCATCTTCTGTTCCTTCCTTCTGGCTTATCAGAGACTAAAATAGTGATGTGGTGCTTTCCACCATTCATATTAGAGCCTCACTGTATGGTCAGTTAAAATGTCTCATGCACCAGAAAGTATTCTCAAGATGGGTGGATGAGAAAACCAATTGCTCCATGATAATTTAAACAAGTTCTGGTATTTGAATCCTGATGAAAAAAAGTGTATTAAAGGGCAAACAAACATCTGGAACAAGTATCATCTGACTGTAACAGAACGTTCTTATTAACTGTGTCCTCTATGGGCTAATTGTTCAAGTTATTCAAGCCTCCTAACTCTCACTAATTCTGTATAATATTTTGTTTCATAAGCAATCCATGTTTATTCATTTCCCTATCTAGCTCATTTGCACTTGCAAAGAATAAACAGGAGGTAAGGTTTGAATAGTAGCATGATACCCATACGAGAATTAATTCCTTTTACAAAGGATCTAATTTATATAGGAAAAAAAAAAAAAAAAAAAAAAAATCCATATCAAACTTCCAAAATCAGTTGCAAGAAACTGCATACATACATTGTACCTAAGCAAATTTAGCAAATAAGAAAATGTTCTGTACACACAGCCAAGCATGTTCTGTTGGCTAGCTACAAAACTAACCTGATACTTGCTAATGTAAAAAACTGGATATAAAGAAAAGATTTATGCAAAACTAGACATTCAAGCTATATTAGTTTAACTGAACTAAAAAATAAAAAGCATGGCATGACTTTGTACACCGCAATTTCCAACTATAATGCAACATTTGCAGTTTCTATAAAAACTATTTCAAAAGGCAGAAAGAGATACAAATATCCAAAAATTCCTTAAGTACTCAAAACACCTATCACAGCATTATCTTCTTTAGTTACATAATTTTTCATCAAGAGGTGGTGAACCTGTGGCCAAGGGTCCAAATAAAGCCTATGAGTTCACCCCATTTGTAACCACATTACTTTTTCCCATGTTGTTATTGATTAACACAGAGGAATGCATTAACTTGTAGCCAACGAAAGCTCTCCAAAAAGCCTACCTCACTCTCAGCAAGGACAAGCTCTTCATCACTGAAGTACCTCTGCATACGAGCCTATGTTCCACGGGACAGGATATCATATCAGTATGCCAGGGATTCTGAGAAAGACTCACGTTATCTTGTCAGTTATTTAAAAGCCAATGCTCTGAGCCTGGAAAACATCTTTTGCTAATTCCAGTAATTAACTGAGTCAGCTGGGAAACACCAGGCTGGTCTTTTCCAGTACTCTAGTGTAATGGAGGAATGCAGGAAGATGCAGCTGTCAGAGCTTTAAGCAGGCAGGTGACTTGGACTGGGAAATGACTCCTTCATTACCAGTGGAAGTGCTGGCAGATCTTTCAGTGTACACACCTTCAGGAAGATGCCCGTCAATTCAGGCAATCATAAAATATGACACTTCCTAGAACAAAATTAATTTTAATATCTGTCCAGTATATGCAAAGCGTTTTGGTTTGTAACATGCATTGGCTTGGCCACTGGCTGGACCTGGGGCCGGAGCTGGAGCAGCCTCACCTCTGCCAGGCCGCTGGATCTGGTACTCAATTATCAATGCAATTTGCCACTCTTCCTGTAGATGCAGGGGTTTTTCCCTTTTGCTTTCCAAAACATTGAAAGAACAGCACACTTTGCACTTATTCTAGTGAAAATATCTTCCAGGTATCACATCAGATCATTTGTATGGAAGGGTTGATGGCGCACTGCTCAGGCCCAACAGTACACAGCTCGGTGCATCCATTTAGCTCTCCAGTTACAGAGCGGTGGGTTGTAGCAACAAGCTCTTGAACCAGGGCACTTCTTGGTTGACAAAGTGCAGAAACACACAGTATCGGTGCGGACAGTGAGGCTTCCAGGCCGTGCGGGACGGCTCCTGGACAGACTAACCCCCCTCACCGCCTGCTCGCCAGTGGGGCAGGAAGGGGGCTCGCGCAGGCACCACAGAGCTCCTGAAGTAACTCCCTGGCAAACCAGGGGGGAAACGGCCTCACCGCACCGCTGTGCCCCATTTAAACATTCTTAGCCAGCCCGGCTGCCGGCGCGGAGAGGCAGTGACCGGGGCCCGGCGGCGGGACGGCCGCGCCGCCCGAG